ATATTACATTTAGATAGCAAAAGCATTAAATAAAATAATAAATTATAGCACAATTAAATATATAACAGCAATTATTTATGTATATGTTTGATATACAATAAAACTGATTAAGATAAAAATAGATGCATAGATAACGTAATAGATTGAAAAAAAAAAGCCTCTTGTAAATCCCATGCACAGCAGGATTCAGACTGAGGGTCAGCATTTCCATCCACATCCTTGTACCCACACCCATATCTGGGCATAGCTCCACCCTTTTATAGATAAATCTGCCTCCCGAGGAGCCCTAATGACACAACTTCCCTGAAAAATAGGGTTGATCTTCAATATAACAATCAGTTGGAAAGAGGTTACTATTAACAGTTTCACAAGAACATATATTACTACTTGTAGGAACGACATGGTAAAGTCATATATTTTTGATCAGCTAAAACAGCCTTTTCTTAAATTGCAAATTCCATTTCTAATGGGAGCAAGTTGCTTGCACGAAGACTGCCAAACAAATGGGCTTTTTGGTAATACAAGGATCTGAATGGCATTTAACACTAAACTCCATTCATGTCTACATCAGCACAGCTCATCCACTGCAGTTTAACTGAAATATCAGGCAACACCTAAGGAATGAGTCAACCTTACTCCCCACAAAGATTCATTCTTCCAATAAGTCTCACCCTCTTTCCCTGATTTGTTCAGCACACAGTTTCCCACTGGAACATACAAGAGCTTGAGCGGGAAGAGAATGATTTTGCATCCTCAACGGCAAGGACAAGGAATTCCGATTGATAAAGATGCCTCCCTATTGATACCACATGGTAAATAGGGTAACAAAGCCCTTTTCCCTTTTCCGGGTTTTTCCTGACCGGCAAATTTGATATATATTTATTTATATACAACACACCCAAACTTCATGTTAGTGTGTACTTGAAATGAGTGGTCTCACGCAGAAGCCAGCATTGGAACACAACCGGTAAAGAATAAACATTTTTTGTTTAAGTGACACTAAAAGTGGCACTAAACTCAGGAGTCAAATCTTAAAAATAAATTTGAGTACTCCAACTATTAACAATACTGGGCCTTATTTGTGCATCACTCGGCTCATCCTAAAATCATCTCTGAATTGGTGCTGACACTGTCTTTCCTTCTGGAGGGTGGCTACTTTTGTTCCCCATGGTCCCTGTGTCTGTTGTAAAGTAGCCACTGCTCCAAGCTCACTCCTGTGATGGACTATAACTTTAATACAATATAGCTAACTAAATATGAGGGAGTGAACTTGGAGTGGTGACTACTTTACAACACACACAGGGACCATGGGGAACAAAAGTAACCACCCTCCAGAAGGAAGGACAGTGTCAGCACCAATTCCGAGATGATTTGAGGATCTACAGCCAAGTGATACACATATAAGAAACATTTTTGTTAATAGTTAGGGTACTTGAATGTATTTTTTAAGATTTAAATGCAGAATTTAGTATTACTTTAATATAATTATTTTACTCATTTTACAGTCTTTGTATATTCAAAACATATAAAATAATCTCTGAGATCTGTATAATTGCAAGCATACAGTATATGAAGTAAAATTCACGGCTTCAAAATAAATTAACATCTGCCTAAACAGAAATAACAATCTCCCCACCATGACTGTCTTGCTCCCTTACACTACTAAATTGTAAAAGACGTGCTCAAACAATTGATATTGCAACAGAAAGTAGGTCTGCAGGCCCCCTGCTTAGTAAAGATAATGTGACCATTGCCCATCGGTACTGTGGGCTCACCAGGTCAAGTGACTGGTGACCAGTGACTGGTCAACAGTGACCATCATGTGACTGGTCACCATTGTCCATCACTGCTGCATAATCCCTACTTGGCAGAGGTCATGTAATCAGAGTCCAACAGTGCTGCAGGCTCCCTGCTTAGCAGAGATTATGTGGATGGTCACCAGATCATATGACTGGTCATCAGTGTCTATAACTGCTGCAGAATCCATACTTGGCAGTGCTCATGTGACCAGTGTCCATGTATTGGAGTGTTTGGTGAAAGAAAGCACTCCTTTTTCCAATTATGTATTTAGGGGAGCATTATTGTCTGGGTGGTGGTGTGGGCTATTTTAGTCAGCTCTGCTTAAACTATTTAAATAATAATTAAAAAGGGTAAATACCAGAAACAACAGAGCATTATACAGACACAACATTAGCTAACACTGTAAGTAAAATGCTTATGTCATCAAACAGGAGGAATGCAAATGTTTGACAACGTAACCATTTTTTAGGAAACAATATTGGGATTACATAAAATTATTTATAAAACATATGAGGCCTATATACAGTGGCAGGAGCAATTTTAAGTGCTGGAACAGTGTCCATGAGTGCAGTCTTTCTTAATGATAAGCATTCAATATCACAAGTGATCCTTGAAGCATCTGAACCCTAAGCCCTCAGGTATTGACTTGTCAGTGCTCACTGACACTTCAGTGACTAGCGGCTACATGTCGCAAACACTGTGAACAATGGTTATATACAGTGCTATACTCATCATGACATCGGTGTCACTCGGACATATATTTCACTTTTGTTACAAGGAGAGCTACATTAGCATATTTGTCTTGGAGTAACACCAACTATACGCAGCGGTGAAGCTGATTAGCCCTCGTTGTAAATGGTTATATAATAACTTGGCAATAATGCTTTGGAACTCTGTTGTGTGGACAATATGCATTTAATAATAGGCATATTGGCATGGATATGAACTAATGTTTGTCCTGAAAAAGATAGAGAAACAACAGGGTTATGTACCAAATTAGAACATAATTACTATTGGAGCCAACATTTTGCTAAATAATAATAAAAATTCAATACATGGAATGGCTTCAGATTACCGGGTACATTTATCAACCGTATAAAACTATGTATGGACAGTGGGGTGCTACAACATTGGATTTCACAGTTTTAGTACTTTGCAAAAATCCCTTTTTTGCCATTCTGGGATTTCCTTTGCCCTATAACAAGACACAATTTCTTCTATGGACATTTTTTGATAGGACTTATACAATAGTTGGTGGTCCTTATATGTTTTTAAATGTGTAGTCTTCTCACATGTGGTTTATATTCTGGTGATAACCTAATATTTGTATATTTTTTAAAATAAATTTAAGATAAATATATGTGGCAGAGGCATTGTCTCTTTACACTGTATGCTTGTCACACACTGTTTGCCACTTTTGGAGCCCATTCTCAGTCACCACAATGGAAAAGTGTAAATGAGCCGTTAAGGTGCCAACCAACTACCAAAGTGCCAGTGAGCATTACCATTAACATAATATATACAGCCATTAAATGATGAACTGTACACGCCGTGCCGAAAAAAACTGAGGACAGAAAGGAGATAATTGAAGCAAGAAACACTTTTACATATGGGGCCTAAGAACCCATTGTATCACTATAACATGTTATGACTAACAATCACTAGGCTTGGCCAATATACATAAAGCATTGATTGTAGCAGAAATATTTGGCTTTCTCGTATAATCACTGGTCCACAAAAGGGCAATCTGCACTGTGCGAAGGTGACAGGTTTTCTATGAATTTTAAAAGCAACCAGATCTGAATGCATTATACTTTATATCCTTGGTATTTTACATTGTAGTACATCAGTAGAATTTTAGTAATTTCTTAAAGGAGAACTATGGGGTCAGTGTTTTTCCCCATAGTTCTCCTTGGGGTAACGGGAGGACACCAACTAGCGTCCTCCCGTTACCCTAAGCTCAGTATACCGCGAGCTACAGCTCGCGGTATACTGAGACGCCGCACCTGAAGCGGATCCTGACTTAGATGACGAGATCCGCCCAGCTGCGTGAGTGACAGCTGGCTCTGCCTATCTAGAGGCAGGGCCATCTGTACCCGCCCCCTCCCCCGTCCGTTCCGCCAGTCAGCGCTGACAGATCGGAGCGGGGAGAGGGGAATCCAGCCCCTCCCCCTGTCACGGCAGAGAGCCGTGACAGGATCGAGAGGTGAGGGAACCCGGTATGTGTTCCCTCACCTCCCGATCTACTGAGCCGACCTGTGACAGTCTCATTGTCACAGGTCGGCTTAGAACTATGAGGTGAGTGGAAATCACTCATGTCATAGTTCTCCTTTAAGTACTATATATTTAGCTAGGCATTTGAAGAAGCGTGTGCAACCAAACATTAAAAAAATACATTTCAGCCAGCAAAATATTATATATATTTATAGATATATCATAAAATATATATTCTTTTACTCTTCAACTAAAAAGAACCTGCTATTCTGAAGACCTAATGAAATAAAATCGGACACACAGGTCTTTTATACATGAATGCCAAAGGGAGTGTATGACATGTGTATAGTACAGTTTGGTATATAAAGTGTGTACAGTACAGTCTGGTATATAAAGTGTGTATAGAACATTCTGGTGTATGAGGTGTGTATAGTAAAGTCTCGTGTATGAGGTGTGTATAGTACAGTCTCGTGTATGAGGTGTGTATAGAACAGTCTGGTAAATGAGGTGTGTATAATACAGTCTCATGTATGAGGTGTGTATAGAACAGTCTGGTGTATGAGGTGTGTATATAGAGCTGCATGGTGTATGAGGTGTAGATAGAGCTGCCTGGTGTATGAGGTGTATACAGAACAGTCTGGTGAATGAGGTGTGTATAGTACAATCTGGTGTATGAGGTGTGTACATAGAGCTTCCTGGTGTATACAGAACAGTCCGGTGTATGAGGTGTGTATATAGAGCTTCCTGGTGTATGAGGTGTATATAGAACAGTCTGGTGTATGAGGTGTGTACAGAGCTTGCCGTTGTATGAGGTATGTGTCAAGCTCAAGATATACAGGTGCTGAGCAATGTGTTTGCTTCACACTACCTTAGATATGAACGTGGACTGGAGGCCTCATTACTCTGAGCACCAAGCATCAAGGCCATGTTGTTCTTTTTTGTGACCCATTGACTGTCTGCAAAATGCATTGTTATTGTGGTTATAGTTTTAAAAGGAAAACAGTATTTGACCTCCAGTATGTGATATTGGTTTGTCTAAAAACTCTACGACTTCTTTAATGCTTTCCTGAGATCACTATAGAAATTCACAAGTGAACCGGCCATCGCAAAGTCAACAGTGCTCTGCGGAATCATCCCCCTCAGTTCTGTCTGTATGTAACCAGTCAGAAAGCTGTGCTCAGGGCAGTCCTGGAGAGGCACACAAAACCAGCCACAAGGGTGATTAAACCCACGGACACAATTTGGATGGACGTTTTCATGTTCGATGCTTACGCCTGTGTGAGAGAGGAAACAAACAATGGATTTGTAACACTGTTATGATCCTTTTATCATGAAAGTATTATTTGTGAAGATTTGTATATATTCATTTTTTGTTTCAAGTTATACAGAGATGTCAACTGAAGCTATCCTTATCAGAGTGACACTGTGCCAAAAATTAATTTTGTATATATTTTTTTTCAAGTAAATAGGCTTTTCTAATATATAAGGCTGGGATCGGACCTAGGCAACAGCATTCGTGCGCCTTTTTGATGCACATTTTGTGTGCGTTTTTATGTGCATAAATCAAACCGTACATTTTTGTAAGCAGATTGTAGCTCATTGATGTTAATGAGCAAATGCACATAAAACGCACAAAAACACAGCAAGCGTTTCCTATTGAGTCTATGTATATTTTAAGCGTTTTTTAGGGCAAAAAAATTGCTACAAAACGCTCAGTGTAAACCAGGCCTTAGAGTTTGGACTTAAAACCCAGAGCACAAAAATGCAACATTGTAGATTTGTTTTTTTTTGGGGTAACACTACCAATGACACTTATAACACCGTTGTCTTAAAGTTACACGAAACTCAGGTGTTAAATCTTAAAAATACATTGAAGTATCTTAACTATTAACAAAAATGTATCCTATTTGTGTATCACTCATATGTAGATCTTCAATTCATCTCTGAATTGGTATTGACACTGTCCTTCCACCTGGAGGGTGGCTAGTTTTGTTCCCCATGGCCCCTGTGTGTGTTGTAAAGTAGCCACCATTCCAAGCTCACTCCTGTGATAGACTATGGGTTCAATTCACAAAAGCTACCGAAGGATCTAGCCGTAGCTTCGGCTGATCCTTCGCGTAGCTTCGGCCCCAGGACCCATTCGGTTCAGGGCTGCTGTATGGGCTATTCACTATAGCCCGTACAGCCCCCGGAGTTGGCCGAGGGACTCAGTTGAACAGAAGCCATATTCTTCGGCTCGACTGAGCCAAGGGGAAATTCGATGCTGGCCGAACAGCCGGCCGACAGCCTGCTTCTGACAGCTGGGCGGAGCCAGCCGTCATCTCACGGCTGGCAGAGAGATCAGCGCCCCTGGTTACCAGAGACGCCGTTCTATCATTACACTGAGAACCCGTCGAAGCTGCTGTAAAATCACAGCAGCTCTGCCAGGTTCTATGTGTAATGACACCTGGGCTTCCCTGGTTAGCAGGTAATCATTAGGATGAGAGCTTAGCAGAGTCGGCTTTCATATCCCCGCCAGCTCCGACAAGCTCTAATTCTAATGACAGCTGGTCCCGGCCAATAGAAAACAGTTGGGCGGAGGTAGCTTACACTGCTATCTCCGCCCAATCGTTTTCTATTTTTGTTTTTTCTACTTTTTTAACTGTTTTTCTATTCTTCTCGATACCACAGAGGTACCAAGCAGAATAGCCGAGCAGAATGCTGCTCAGCGGCATTCGGCTATTCACTCACTGGTTCGGTGTTGGATCGGCTGAGTCGAACTCCTTCTGCACTTCGGGTCGGCCGAACATCTTGAGGATGTTTGGCCGACCCGAAGCCACTCGATGTACGGCTGATTTCAGCCGATATACAGTGTTCGGCTCACTTCACTTTGGGTCGGTTGTTCACTTGGCTGCCTACGGCAGCTTTGTGAATAGACCCCTATAATTTAAATACAAATTAGTAAAGTAAACGCAAGATTGTAGTCCATGACAGGAGTAAACACACAGGGACCATGAGCAACAGAGGTTGCCACCTTTAGAAGGAAGGATAGTGTCAGCAGAGTCAGAGCGTACACAGAGCCAGGTCCATAAAGTCATAGTATGACAAGTCTGTTGTAACCTATCATGAGTAGCCTGTCTGCAAGCCTATTCAACACTTTTGGGATGAGTTTGAACACTGATTGCGGGCCAGGTTTTCATATCCAGCATCAGTAACTGATCTCACAAATGCTCTGAACAAATTCCCACAGACACCCTCCAAAATCTTTTGGAAAGCTTTCCAAGAGGAATGGATACTGTTAAAGGCGCAAAGGGATGCCAACTCAATATTAATGCCCATGGTTTTGGAATGGGATGTCCAGCTAGCTTATATAAGTATAATGGTCAGGTGTTGACAGACTTTTGGCCATTCAGTGTATAATAATACCGTAGACAAAGTAAAAATTACCACAAGTCAAAAGTCCATTTTCATAGCTGGTAGTGTAAGAGAAGTCAATGAACTCTCTTGGGGAAATAATGTTCAGGAGTAGCCCAGCAGTTGTGTATAGCATCACACAGGAACCCTGTGAAGCAAGAAAATGTTAAATTTGTTAAATGGTATTATAGTTACCCCAATCATTGGTGCAGGTTCTCCTTTTATGTTTACTTGTCCTTCTCTTGCCATAGATATGCTCAAATCTTGATTCATCCCCTTTCCGGCCAATGATGGAATTATCCCCTCACCCTCAGTTCATTAACAACCGGTGACGGGATGATCCCGTCAATCGGTACAATGAGTGCTGGCCCGTGAAGGGAGTTACTGCTGTTGATGGGTCTCTCAGGGTCCGAGGCAGACCCTCAACAGCAGATTAGGTGGTCACAGTTCTGTCACCACAGTGAGAGCTGATTGCTGTGATCGCAGAGCTGTGACAGTCACACAGCCAGCAGCAGCTCAACAGCAGCTCAACAGCAGCTCAACAGCAGCTCAACAGCAGCTCAACAATGTTTTGTAAATTGCTAGCCGGCTGTGTATACAAACTGAAACAAACGGGTCTATTCACTAAGCTGCCGAGGGCAGCCGAGTGAACAACCGACCCCAAGTGAACTGAGCCGAACACTGTTCGGCTATTCACTTCAGGCTTGTATATCGGCTGAAATCAGCCGTACATCGGCTTGCTTCGCATGGCTTCGGGTCGGCCGAACATGCTCAGCATGTTCGGCTGACGCGAAGTGCAGAAGGAGTTCGACTCAGCCGATCCAACATCTGGATCGGCTGAGCCCAACCTCCGGCAGGCTACTCACTGCTGTTCGGCCTATTCTCATAGATGCCGAACAGCAGTGAGTGAATAGGCGAATGCCGCTGAGCGTCATTCGGCTCGGCTGTTCTGCTCGGTCCATCGGACCGAGCAGAACAGAAAAATAGTTTTAAAAAAGTAAATAGATAACGATTGTGCGGAGCTAGCAATGACAGCTAGCTCCGCCCAACAGTTTTCTATTGTCCGGCGGTTCTGCTGCCGTAAAAGAAAAAAAAATAATCTCCCAGGCGCTCTGGGAGCCTACCGCTCCTGGCCGCCCAGGGGAGAAACACTGATTTTTCTTTTTTTTCTTTATTCTGACACGGAGCCGTGTCAGAATAGAAAAAAAACAAAAAACGTTTTTGCCCATTGGAATGCATTGCTAGATTCCTATTGGCTATTTCAATTTGCAATAGCCAATAGTAAACTAGCATTGTACCCGCCCTCTGCTGCAGTTCTCCATCAGGTCCATCAGCAGAGGGCGGGTACAATGCTAGTTTACTATTGGCTATTGCAAATTGAAATAGCCAATAGTAA